GGGGGGGGGGGATTGGCCCCAGCCCGCCCCGTGCCTCCTCCCCAGGCCTGCTCCCGCGTCACTGGAATTTCCTGTCTTTGTCGTCCGCCTGCCCCGGCCAGAAAGTGGCCTGGCCGGGCAGAGCTTGGCTCGTGGGGTGCTTCAGGGCCTTTGTCCAGCAGGTGCGACCAGACGCGCCCGGGAGACCGGAAATCGCTGGGTGAGGCCCGGCCGCTCAGGCCGGCGGTGGGGAGCAGCTGCCGGCTGCCGTCCGGCCACCGCCCCCATGGCGCTCCTGGGGCCAGCCGGCCGGCGGCGGACGCCCCAGCAGCCCACTTGTGTTTCAGCGCGTGGAAGATGGTGGACGTGGAGGAGAGCTTCAACCTCAAGGCCGTCCTGGTCAGCTTCAAGCAGTGTCTCAACGAGAAGGACGAGGTGCTGCTGGACCCCTACCTGGCGGGCTGGAAGGGGCTGGTCAGGTGCGTGCGAGCCCCCCTTCCCCGCCCTCCGCTGGCAGCTGGGGCCTCGCGCTGAGCCCCCGCCCCCCCAGGTTCCTCCACAGCCTGGGCGCCGTCTTCTCCTTCGTGGCCAAGGACGCGGCCGCCAAGCTGCAGACCATGGAGCGCCTGCGGAGCGGCCCGCAGGGGGCGCACTACGCCAGCCTGCAGTCCATGGTGGCCTTCGAGCTGGGCGGCGGGCAGGTGGACCTGGCGCGGCGCTCCCGCCACCCCGACTCCGGCTGCCGCACGGTGCTGCGCCTGCACCGCGCCCTGCGCTGGCTGCAGCTCTTCCTGGAGGGCCTGTCTGCCGGGCCTGAGGACGCCAGCGCCGCCGCGCTCTGTGCCGACGCCTACGGCGCCTCGCTGGCCGCCCACCACCCCTGGATCGTGCGCCAGGCCGTGGCCGTGGCCACCTACACGCTGCCCTCGCGCAAGGCCTTCCTGGAGGCCATGAACGTGGGGCCGCCCGAGCAGGCCCTGCAGGTGCTGGCCGAGGCCCTGCCCTTCATCGAGCGCGTGTACAGCGTGTCCCAGAAGCTGTACGCCGACCACGCCCTGCTGGACCTGCCCTAGGCCGCCGCTCCCTCTGGCACTTGGCGCGGCGGCCAGCGCCTGCCCCCGACAGAAAAGCCACCGCCCATGGCGCCCGCAGGCCGGACAGGCCGCCGCAGAGGAGGCCCCGCTGGGCCGGCACCTCACCCGCACCGCGGCCAGCGGGCAGACGCAGGGTCGGTGCTGGTGCCGGGCCAGGGCGGCCCCTGCCTGTCAGGTCTGCTGCTGGTGGGCTCTCCTGGCCCTGCTGCGGCCCGCGCCCTGCCCAGATGCCCTCAGCGCCCGCCGGGCTCCTCTGCGCAGAGCACCTCGCCCCTCTCGCCCGAGCGTGGGCCCAGGAGTCCTGCCGCACGGGGGGCACCGGCGTCGGGGCCCGAGGGTCTGCATGGCCTGGCCTGCGGCCCAGCGTCCTCCGCTGCTGGCTGGCGCCACCCTCCGTCGCCCCCAGCCGCCCTGTCCCCACGGAGCTGGGGCTGCCTGGCCTTGTTCTTGGGGCAAGGCCTGCCCACCTGGCCAGCTGAGGCGCGTGGGGGGCCCCTGGACGCTGTGACAGGCTGTGATTTTGCAACAAATAAACAGGCTTTCAGGTGGGCGCCACTGATGAGGGGGCACAGGCGCCAAACTCACTGCAGGGTGGAGCCCCATGGGGCTGGGGGGTCACCAGTGCCTGCCCACCCAGCATCAGACGGGGGTGCCCATGCCTGCAGGGCTGGGCGGGGCACTGGTCCTGCATCTGCGGCCAGAGGGCGAGGCCTGGGCGGGCAGGAGGGGGTGGCAGCTCCCAGTCCGCAGGAAGTGGAGGCTGTATGTCTCCCTGCCCCCAAGCCAGACGGGGGTGGGGGACACCTGCAGGCTCAGCAGAAAGTGCTCGCCTGGCGGTCAGGGCTGCTGGGCACACCAACTGCTGTCCATTCGGTTGCCGGCCCTCCCTGCACGTCCTGGGGGCAGGTGTGCCCCCCACCCCCAAGCAGCTGCAGCCCCGCCCCGGGCCCAGCCACGCTGCGAGGACGCTCCCAGGGGCTGCAGACGCGGAGGCAGGAATGCACTGAGCACCCCTCTTCAGGAATGGAGGTGCAGTGGGGCCGGACACGCAGCCAGTGTCCTGCACCATGAGCCAAGCACTTCAGTTGGCGCAGGAAAGTGGCTGCATGACGCGGGCGATGCTGCTGGCCACTGCTGTCCGGTGGGAGCAGGCCACGCTGGGGGACCTGCAGCACCTGCACACCTTCGCGGCAGTGCAGGCACGGCCCTGGCAGGTGAGTGCAGCTGGCCGGCGCAGGGAGCCCAGCCTCGCCCTCCTGGGGGTGGGGCGTCTGAGCCGACACCCGCCAAGGCACAGGGTGGGCCTGGCGGTTTGCCCCCACCCCCTCCCGAGCGCCCCGGCAGTGCCGGCCCAGCCAGTGCGCTGCCTCGAGGGCTGACGCCTGCTGCCTGCGCCAGCCAGAACTCAGCACCCCACCTGCTTCCTGGGAGGGTCCTGGCCGCGCAGGGAGGGGGCAGCGCTGGGCGGGCAGCGCCCGGCCTCCGCCACAGACCTCGTCCGACACCCAGCTCTGCCACGGCGGGTCTGGCCCGAGGTGGCACGAGCAGCACCTGGCCTGCGGCCCGGGGGGGCGAGCTCTGCCTCCTGAGAGGGACCCGAGCGGGCGGGAGGCCGGCGGCGGCCGGCACTACGTCGTCTTCCGGAAGCCTTTCAGAATAGGGTAGATGTTCTCGAATGCTTCGTAGATCTCTGCTCGGACTTTCGCGCCTGTGAGGACCAGCGAGAGGAGGGTGAGGGGCCAGACGGCTCTGCACACCCAGGAGGCCAGGGCCCCGCATGGCACAGCTCTCCGCACCCGGGGCTGCAAGTGCAGTGACCTCCCCAGCGCCCTCTGCTTTCACGCAGAACGGTGACCGGGACAAGAGCAATGTCCCTCGGCTGGCCCAAGGGGAGGCCGTGAGAAGGACCCTGCCCCCCTCCTGACCGCAGCCTTCGTCGTCCAGAAACCGGCACTCGCCCCAGCGCCACGCCCCGCCGCGGCCGCACCATGCCCGAGTCCAGCACAGGACGCAGCTCCCCACTGGGCTCACCTGTTAACACAACTTTTCCAGAAACAAAAATAAGGAGAACAATTCTGGGCTTGATCATTCTGTAGATTAAACCAGGAAATAACTCAGGTTCATAACTAGGAGGAAAAGAAAAAAGGGTTGAGCAGCTTGGAGCTTTACATGCCCCTGCACACCCCGCGAGGCCGGCAGGAGACCCGGGCGCCAGCCGGCCAGTGCGTGAGCCGCTGCCGCCGCTCCCACCGACCCGCTTTTCCGGCACAAGGCCGAGCTGCTTCCTGAGGCGCTTTCTGTAGTATGCCTCGGTCAAGTTTCGTCTGGGACAAGTTTAGGTGCTTCAACTTCAGGTCATTCCCAGCTCATTTCCTTAAGCTGGTCCGGCAACGTTACCAGAGATGGAAGAGACACTCGCTGGAGAACGGGCCACGACCGAGTCCACTGAGCCTGGCGGCCGCCTCTGTCAGTTCTGAGACTAAAGCAGGGCGTGTGTGCTGAGCCAGCGGGAGGTCAGGCCGGCCTCGCACAGGC